GCTTCTGAGCTGCTATTCCGCTGTTTGGAGAGGGTCTATAAGGGGCCCGACCCGTAATTCCACCGCCATTCTCCAACCCGACGTTTCCTGAGTCCGAGTGGGAATAATGGTACAATATAGCCCTTGTGATCCTTCTCTGTTTTCTGTGTAAATGCCATGTCTATCTATAGGAGAATGTATTCTTTCGTGGAGAAGTGGGGATGGCAGACAGCAGCCCTCGGCCTCTCCTCCACACATTCCACCGGACTCCACTTTCTCCCCCCCCCTCCCCCCCTTTTTTTTTCCCCCCTTTTTTCTTTTTAAAGGAAGAAAAGATCCAGTCATTAAAAGGACGGAGGGGGGGGGGGGAAGCAAAATAGCCGTGCTAGCTGTAAAGTACGAATCTGCAGGTCGTGGAATGTGGGTTGTAAAATCTGCTGAGGGAGAGCCATAAACTGCTGCTGAATAGGGATGACAACTCTATCTCTGCTCGCTGATGAAATTCCACAACCGCGATCTCACAGTGGGCATCAGGCGCTGGAGGAGGAATTCCCGAACTCGAGTTTCTCTGGTTTTAGGCACAGCAGAACGCAGAGCATCCAGGTTTGGGAGTGCGAAGTCCCCCCGTTTGCCCTTCTTCCTCCTAACGCTGTTCCTCTCAGCGTCACATGCTGAAAGGGGTGGGTGGGTGGGTTGGGGGGGTTGTGCGGGGGTGGGGAGTGAAGGGCTTCTTAAATCTAAAGCCGGATAAAAGGGGGAGACGAAGTGTTTACGACCAGAAATATTTGGTCTTTGATAAATCAACTCTAAAAGTGAATGAATTATGGAGCAGGTAATGGAAAGGACTGACCACCAAATCAGTGCGAGGGTACCTCCTGCCTGTGAAGCCGCCCAGCATTGGCTACCCCTCTGTTTTCCTTTCCCCTCGCTATGCAGGAGGTTGGCCCGCACTCTTCTCGCCCCCGAAGTTTACTAACACGACACTTTCCGAAGATTTGGCTGCTCTCATGGATGCTCTCAAGTTGCAATCTGGCACCGGGGCGGCCACAGACATGAGCTCATGCGTTCTCCTCGCTCCCGGGCAGAACAGCTCTTCTCAATTCCGTGCCAGGGTCACCCGGGTATAAACACATCCACGGGTGTCCGAAGCACAGGGAAATACCCCGGCTGGGGCCCGGAGCGAAGGGAATCCCGGCCCAAGGAGCTCCTGTCCCTCGTCCCATGCGCTTCAGTGCGATGGGAACGGGATATTTAGGAAATGTTACTTGACACTGAGACGGAACACGGCTGGGGATGAAGGCAGAGCAGCGTCTGGGCACGGGGTGCCCCTCGCCCACCCCCACGAGCGGAGCCCTGCGTGGGGTTCCTCGCTTTGGGATTCTGTTTGGGGTTATTTGGAAGGTCACCCCGCAGTCCCTGGATGCGTCCCTACAGCCGGATCCCGACCGGAATGTCAGCGTTTTTAATGTAAGCAGGGCTTTTAATTGAGCCAAGGATGATGCGTTGCTCTTTTCAGATGGCAACACGCTAGGCTTAATCGCGGTGTCTGGGACGCGGTGGCGAGGGGCTGGCAATGGAAAGGTCTGCAGCCTGAGAGAAAACAAAACGAGCTTGCGAGCACCTCCCATCAATAGTTTATTTCGGAATCTATATCTACATCTACACAGGGGTAGCGCGATCTTCATCCTGTAAATATAGGAGAAGAAGGGGATGGCCATTATTCCTGCAGCTCTGTCTGTCCCCTCTAAGACAAACTGCCTTTTGCACGGCACACACACAACCCCAGCACCACTAATAAATATTTAAAGCTAAAAGGATGGCTTTATGGCGGGGGTTTCTCTCTCTCTCTCTCTCTCTCTCTCTCCCTTTTGAAGCCGGAGATTCGTTTTCGGTGAAACGTCATGAAAGGAGTTGGGGACAATTCCCCCCCTCCCCTCCCCCTCCGCCACCCCCCGCGCACGCCATAAAATAATTTACACTCCCCCCACCCCCCCTCCGGGCTCCTTTCTTTAAGGAGGATTGCGCTTACCTGTGCTCCTCATCCAGGGGTAGATACGGAAGTTACTGTCGCTTTGCAAATCTGAATCCCTCTGGTCCGTTTTGTTGCAGTTCTGCTTGGAAGCATCTCCCGGACACATCATGGAGAGGTTTTGCTCAAAGGGGGAACAGTGCATGTTGAAGGAGCCGGGCTCCAGGCCGTACCCCGAGGAGTACATGCCGGGGGGTTGGGGATGCACGGCGCTGCCGCTGGAGTACAGCCCGGGCATGGAGGAGGCGAAGGGAGGCGTGGAGCCGGCCCCATAACCCGTTCGTTGGGTATTGGAGGCGAAAGCGCAAGAAGTTTGCTCGGGAAAGACTCCGGATGAAAAAACCGAACTTGCGGCTTGATATTTAGAAAATAAAGCATTCGCATAATACAATGAACTCATAATTTGGCCGGGTGATTTGTAGGTCGGGACGTTTTAGTGTCGGTTTTACGAGGTACCGTGATATATTACGGAATTAGAGTCCAGATTTACACCAAAAAGGAGCCCTTTTTCCTCCCGGCCCATGTGACGCGCGGGCACGTGGCTCCAGCGGCGCCAATCGCCGCCCGCTCCCTCCTCGGGGGCAAAAAATTGTAGTGCTGCTGGATTTATAAAATATGATAAATAATTGATGCGATATAAAACCCTCCAAGATCTATGCTGGAAGGGGGTGAAATTGTGCTGGAGTCGATAAGCAACCTGTAATCAGTTTTCAGCTGAGACCGAGGGAGAAAGAGAAAGGCGAAAGGGAAGGGGAAAGAAGGGAGGGGGGGGGGGGGGGGGGGGGGGGGGGGGGTTGGTGCTCGGCGCTGCTCCTCTCGGTCTCTCTCTGGTGGAGGAAAAGGAGCGGAGCTCTATTTATCCCCTTATTGATCCCGTCGAAAATTCCCTCCTTCGCTCCGTTTCCCGGCTCCGAAGCACTTTTTTCACAAGGCAGTTCACGATTTCCCCCCCCCCCCCCCCTTCAACCTCCCCCCCCTTTGACCCTCTCCCCCTCTGCGACCACCCCCCAAAAGACAAATGTCTGATTGATACCTAATAGTTCCAGGCTCCTTTCCCCCCCCCTTCCCCCCCATTCAGTTCTATATCTCATTTATTCCAACGCCACGGGCTTTGAGTTCCGTATTGAGCTGGCATTTGCTTTTCTTGTTGCGAAAAATAAAAGGCTGTACAGATCCCTTGTTTAGCGCGTCAGCGCTTCTGCGGGACTCAATTACAACGATAGGAAAGCGTTACCAGCTGGCTGATTTGCTTTCTGCTGGAGAAGCAAAGAGACCTTCCAGATCAGCTTCAATTTCCCCCCCCCCCTCCCCCTTTTTTTGTTTTTTGGCTGGGGGGGAGCGGGGTGGGGGATAAGAAAGGAATAAAGTCTTACTGGCAGGAACAGCAGCTCAGACAATGGTGGATGTGCCGTTAGGATTTGCACCGGTTCTCCTTCCCCAAGGTTAAGTTGCAAGGGGATGTGTTTGCATCCCCACGCCCCATCCGCGCTCCTTTTGCTATGGCAGGAGAGCGAGAAAGCTCAGCTGCATCACTTCCACGCACAGAACAGTGAGGGGGGAAAGGAAAGAGAGCAGAGCCGGGCTCCGTAATGCGGAGAAAGCTTTGGGAAAGAGAGAGAGAGAGAGAAGGCAGAGAGAGAGAGACGGAAAGAAAGAAAGGAAGAGGGGCAATGAAAACACACGTTACCTTCGGGATGGCTTTCCGCACATCTCCCAACCTGTCACCACGCATGAATAGTTAGAAACAACAACAAGAGCAGAAGCCATCGCTGTGCCCCCCCCCTCCCCTCCCCTTTCTAAACCCCCCTCCCCAGTCCCTTCCCCGGCCCAGCAGCGGCCCAGCATCTCTCAAGCATTGCTGGCTTTGATGGCCGGGGTTTGCAGCTCCCACACAATTGACTTTTATTTCCTTTCTATCAAAGTGGTCCTGGAGGAAATGGAGCAGGGTAAAAGAATGATGTCACGGAATTCTCGCTTGTAAACTTTATTGTAACTTTCTTCCGCCGCTTCCAGGTTTAGACAATAGAACAAAGTGATGAAAGAACAACAAAATATATCATTAGTTCCCCCAATAAAGTAATTCACGTATACAGTATACATTCTTTTTCACAGTTAACCTAAGGATCACTTTACAACTTGCTTCACTGTGCGCATGCTAACTAAAGGAGAGAAAAAACGCTTTTTTTTTTTTTTATGGTCTTTTTTCTTTTTTTTTTCTTCTTATTTTTCACCTTTTTTTATTTGTTTGTTTTTGTTTTCTTTTGAAGAGACATTGAAAAAAAAATCGTAAACAAACAAACAAACAAACAGAAAAGGGAAAAAATCCCGTAGCGAACAAAAGGACGAAGGGAAGGAAAGTAAAGAGAGAGAGAAAGAGATAACTATAGCATAAATAGGCAGTTTCATGTTGTTGGGATGTTTGTCTCAATAGCTACCTCCAGTACATACAGATAAAGCACAAAGGAGAACAAAAAAAAAAACCAAACCAACAAAACAAACCACACAAAAGAAAGTGGAGAAAGATAATAACAATTAAAAATCAAACATTAAAAAAAAAAAAAGTGCACGAATGTAATTTCACAGAACTCCTATAGCGTTGAAAGCTATGTTAACCAACCCACCCCCCCACCCCCCCACCCCCAACAAGGAAAGAAGAAAGAGACAGAAAGACAGAGAGGGAGAGAGAGAGAGATTTCACAGTCATGTTTTACATAAGCTATTGCGTTACACTACCACTAGTTAATAACTGGCAAAAGGCAGGGCAGAGCTCCACGGCGCTTTTGCATAACTGTTCATTGTATCAAAGGAGAATCAGGAAAGTGGTGCTTACAGCTATATTGTTTTACAGCAATAAAAGGGTCGGGTTTGTTTTTTTTTTTTTTTTTTTTTTTTTTTTTTTTTTTTTTCCTTTTTTTTTTTTTTTTTTCCCTTTCTTTCTCTTTTCTATGCACTGCTGGTTTCACACCCCCCCCCCCCAACCTCCCCCCCCTTCCCCCCCCAACACCCCTCCCTTACATTAACTACCATTAACGTGGGGCTCGGGGGCTCTTCCACCCCAGCAGCGCTTCTCCTTTCAGTCCTCAAAACTCCTTTTTATTTCTTGTCCGCCTTCTGTGCTTCCCCTTCCTCGTCCACCTCCTGGGCTCTTTCCATTTTCTGTTTTTCCAGTTCTTCCTGCTCGCATTTGCTGCTGGGAAACTTGTCTTTGTTGTTTTCCTTTTTCCATTTCATCCTCCTGTTCTGGAACCAGATTTTGACCTGCCTTTCTGTCAATCCCAGGGCATGAGAGACCTCGATCCTCCGTTTGCGGGTCAGGTAGGGATTAAATAGAAATTCCTTCTCCAGTTCCAGCGTCTGGTAGCGGCTGTAGGTTTGCCTCCCCCTCCTCCGTCCAGCGGCTGCTGGGGAATTGCAAAGGTTGGGTGGAAAGGGGAAGAAGAGGAGGTTGAAAGATACATAAACCAGGCTCGGGAATGGGCGCACACACACACACACACACGCACACACACATAGAGGAGATGGAGAGAGGGAGGGAAGGGGGGGGGGGGG